GCTGTGTGAGCCTTAACCATTCAAACTTTCAGTATATTTTGCCATATGGTAACTAGGATCATTTTACACTTAAAAATTATTACTTTAAATGCATGTCATAACTATATTGCCTATGAACTTCTACAGCAACATATTCTAGGGTCATTTATCCTCATGTTCCCTGACACAGTTATTAGTTTTTACATTACCTAAGAAAGTCGATTTGTATCTTATAACTAAGATTTTTCTGAGTTTATATCCTAAGACAGAACTACAATATATTGGTGTGGAGCAAGTATCACAGTTTGGGAGAAGAGGTCTGGAACTTTGCCAGATGACAGTTTGACCAGCAGGTGAACATGAATTTTTTGAGGTGAAACTAAAGTATAGTACCGCCTGCTAAATCCCTTAGGCAGTGAACTGCATAACAAGTAATTACATCAAAGAATTCTGTTACATTAGGTTTATATATTTACCAGATTGCAACTGCAATTAACAACTTGGTTCTATGCAAAGGCCCTGTGCAATTAACACATATGCAACAGAGAACTATTCATTCTGAAGGTAGTTCTTCTACAAGCCAAGGCTAAAGCACACAACAGGGTGCACAATCTATAAAGACTTATGTACTCTCCCACAAGGTGCTTGCCTCCCAGGCTATTAAATCCAAACACTTTTAGAAAACATTAAATTAATTTGAAATGCCAAGAAAACACAAATGCCTACAGAGTTAACAGACAATGATTTAAGACTAGAGTATGCCATAACTGTTGTGCCCCTAAAGGGAAGGATGGAGGGTCACTTATGGCTGTGTGCTAGCTACTTTCATCAGAGGGACCATGGAAAGAGAAAACATACCATGGAGGTGGATGTGTATTGAGCAACCTGGATCCCATTGTTACAATGTGGTGTGCAATGTATGCAAGTCCAAATATAGGACGCATGAGAACCTCTCCTCTGCAATGCTAGAGGTCAGGTAGAAGGGGGACGACCAGAAAAGCAAACTTCAAATCTGGTCAGAATAAGCTTCCTGACCTACTCCTGGGGAGCTCCAACAATACATGTGGTTTTCCCAAAGCAATAACTTACCCTATAACATACATGTATCTTTACCCCTCAGCCTCCTTTGCTGTATTTTTTTTTAACTGTTTTTCATTTCTATAATGAACTTGGCTTTGCTGGGATAATTGTGGCCTGCAGATTTTTTTTTAAATATGAGGTGGTTTCAAGAAGACGACTTTTCAACATTTTCCCTTCGTTCATCTCAGTATGTGTTTTCTTCAATTTTGTCCAATTAGAAACCCTCCACGCTCATTTCTTATGCCTGAATTTTCAACCACTAAATGTATTTCCTAAGCCTGTTTTTGAAAAGTAAAGAATTCCTTACAAATTAGTCTCCTGAAACTTTAAATGTCAGCTCAAATATCTGTTGCTGAAAATTTGTCAGAACACTTGACATTTTTAAGTATCATTCAGTATACACCCCAGAGAATAAGTTCTGCAATTTAATTTGATATGTCACTTTACTCTCCTCTCCCCAGTTCAAAATGACATGATGGGCCTAAGTTACAAGAAGATGAAACTTCAGCTGCTCTCTGATTCATGGCACAACTGCCTCTGAAATTAGCACATGAGAAGTGCATATACATGTTTACAGGTAAAAATTACCTATCTGACTACAGAATAATCACTCAAGGGAATCAGTGGAAACACACTATCTTGAGCCATTTTAAATTAGATTAGACAATGTCTTAGAAAATGTGTTGCAAGAAAGAACACTCTACACACTTGGAGGCACAGACTACGCAGTTTCAAATGTCTTTTTGCATAGACTGCACAGTCTTTTTGTCCTGTGCTTGTACATTGACTAGATAAAGTGGGGCACAGCTGTGCTACCACAATATGCATTATTTTTTAATAACCATCACTTCCTACAAGTTTTTTCCCTGAAACTCTCTGATCCTAAGATACTTTAAAGCATCCATAACTTTCCTGGGTATAAATTTGTTTTTTATTCACCTAGAATCAACACATTTTAGCCCAACAGATTCCAGGGCTGGCAGGCTTTTCTGGGTACATACCAGAATCACTTAGGTCAGAGAAGGCTGGGTGCTAGGACCCAGCCACTGCTTGCCTCCACAGTGACATAAGATCACCTGCAGCAGAAGCCCCTTGTCCATGGACTGGATCCAATGGTTCAATAGGCCGGATCTTTGCACTGCTGCACTATCCTTTGTTTTAATATTAAAAAACGGAGGCCAAATTTTCACATGTAAAAGCCTCAAATTTTGCTTTAAAATCCATATTTAGATTCCTTACAAAAATAATCCAGGTACAGACAGTACAATATCAACAAAGGCCTGGGCTAATCTCTGGTTGCACAATATACAAGAAATAAAGAACAAAGCAGCATCACAACAGACAAGGAAAATGGAACACATGCAGCATGCACAAATGTGCCAGTACCTCTCCCATGCAGAGATATGCACCAAGGGTTATTCAGAAATGGTGCACTGGACCATTAAAGTAGTGTTTAGGAGGATGTGGGACAGATGAAAGCACCTACTTCAATGTGCATGAGCAAAGATTGGTTAAGATACGCAGAGGCATGCTGCTCTTGCTTAGAGAAACAGTGACAACTAACAAACACGTTCTAAGACAGCAAGAAGCCTCCTGGTGAGCTAATTACCAATCATTACAAACTCTGTGTAGCTGTTCGTCATTCAAGGCACGATTTGACTCGTAAATGACTATATGTTGAAAGACAGTTCCAAATGAAACATGAATTCATGAGCATTTGTAGCTGGGGCTAAAGTATGGCATAGACTCCTGCTAACACATGTAGTTACACTGTTGATAAGTTGTATGATTCTAGCTTTTAATTTTCTTTTAGATTTGTTTTTCTCTATTTGACATTTTTATTTTATTTTAATCCAATTAAAATTACCAAGACAAGCAACCTGGATCTCTTATGGTAAAAAAACAAATAAATAAAAAAATTATATATATATATATATATATATAGTATGTGCAAGTCTTTTACAAACTCCCTACATGTTTCCTCTATAAATTGATCTATACCCTTATAAATGCTCATATCTCACTGACCTGAAGGTCAGGTATGCCATTGAGACCCTGTGTCTCTGTGGTGAAGCAAACTGTAGACTAGTTTATAGGCCTATTTTTTAACAGGATCTCATACACACATAGGAACTCATATTTTTAATAAACCTAGCAACTAGTCTACAGTTTTGCTTCACCCACAGTAAAGTATGTTTTGAAAGCTTCCTAAACCTCTGGAATAACACAAAAAAAATCTTTTTCCAAGTAGCCATGTGAGATAAAGGAAGGGGAATTTGCATCCATGCATCCAAACTTTCAAAAGAATAGGAGGATAAATAAAATTTGAACTAGAAACAGAGTCTTTAAATACTCAGAAGCCTGTCAGAAGAGCTGATGGAGATCTTCATGAGAAGCTGAGTAGAATTAAACTCCCTTAGCAGGCAGCAGAGGGTGCTGAAGGAGTAGTGAGCTCTCCCTATAAATGCACACGCTGAAAATAAAGTGTGACACCTCCAATTTATCTACAAAAGTCTGCTTCCTTGCTCAGGTATCATGTTGTCCAAACAGTCTTAAACCGAATAGTTAAACTGGATTTAGCACTTCATCTTAACTATGCAAGATTTTTTCACATTACTCCTATGTAGAATCTTAAGAAGGGAGAAGCCTTTATGCCATATATATGAGAGACAGAAACCTATTATATATACAAAAGCCTTTTTATATATATATATATGCCTTTATATAGGCCTTTATATAAGCATGTGTGCACACACACATATACCATTCATATAATATAAACGTAATTTTCTGGGTCTAAGCATCTCACCTAAGAACCAGATTCTAAACTTTAAAGGGTAAAGGGGGTCACTAATTTGGTGAGATAATTAACTGGGGAGCAGGAAGATCAGCTCTGGTTCTAAAATTCAGAAAACTCCAGAGAGGTTTGGATGCAAGGTTTTATTTGGCTTCACAGTGCTATAGTTAGTACAGACTCAATGAAGTTAATTTTCTCCTACTCTTTCCATTCCTACCCTCCTACTACACTAAACCTTCCAGAGCAAATTGACTAAACAAGTGTGCTACTGCTGTTTCTTCAGGTCATTAGGTTTAACTGTATCATGTCCTATTAGGGAACAGTAAGAATCTCTAAAGAATCAGAAAAACCTATGTTCAGTACTGATGGATTGTAGGTGAGGTCACTGAAAGTTTAACTGTTTAATAAACGGAATCGACTAATTTATGGGAAGAAAGAAAATCCTTCCTTGCAGTGCATATTTATTTTTCTTTTGTGATGTAAAATTAGCTTGATAACTTATTGTTACATGATGAAAATAAGCAAGTGAAAAGACAAAGAATGTCTCCAGAAATTATTTGCAAACTTTTGTGAAAATACATTACTTTAAAAATTAACCCCTTGCAAATTACTGTAAGCCAATTCATCTATTTCAAGCTATGAAGTGCATAAAATTAAAACTGAATCTATATTTCATAATCTTTAACAGTTTTAATTTAAGGTGGCTGTTAAAATGATCTTTCTTTAACCATATAACATGCTCAAATAATCACATCAAAAAGAAAACATCACTTGGAGCTATCATTTACTGTATCCATAAATATGTTGGCTGATTGTACCAACTCTATGCATCAAGAGAATCATTTACATATTTACATATTTAGTCCAAACTGTTTGAAAAGTGCCTCAGACTCCTGTTTTAATGAAAAGCTTCTACTGTATCCTTCTGATAACATCCTTGCAATTCAGTCATGCTACCTAAATATGTAACGTATATGCAGTAGTTAATACTGTACTTTCACACAGTGCACTGTGGTTTGGAAATTCTTAAGTTCTGAGACACCCTTCTAAGCTTTTCCTTTCATTAATATAATTGAACAGTGAGCTGTTATCTTAAGTTCATCCCCCTGCCATAACTACATTGCCAAATACTTTTTCTTCTTACCCCTGGTATGCATGGATAGCAGCATGATCAAGGAAATGTGAAGATGCCAGTAAGGTTCTTCTAGCCAACCCATTGCAGCAGGAGAGGAGTGATTCTGATTTGCCCGTGTTAGTCTCCTGTTTCTTTTCTTTCCGTATTTCACGACAGTCCTTTGGTACGGCTCTGTCAGGTCCTCAGACAAGTCTGCCAGCAAGCCTAAGATGAGAATGTGAAAGACAAGCCTGTTACAAACTGGTTCTGTCACCACATAGACCTCAATTGATCACCTCGTGGGGAGGACAACAAAAGGGCAGCAAGGATCCCAAGCTGGACTGGATTCCTGACACAGGAGCATGGATTGACTGCCCGCACAGGGATTTGTGTAAACTTAGAAGCTGCAGCCGGACGAGTCTTTAACTCCCTCTTTACTTTACACATACAAAAAACCAAGCCTTGAAATTTCACTGGAGGTTTTCAAGTGGGTGCAAGCAAAAGCCTCCTGTCAGACTACTTGTAAATTGTTTACTTTACAAATTAAGCGCTGCCTATTCCTTTTACTTTAAATCACACCACAGTTTTCTTGTGAATTCCCAATATTAAGGATTGCTCTGCAACAATAACAGGGAATGGCTAGGAACAATCAGGGAGATTCAGAATCAGGGAGATTCAGAATGGCTGTGTCTGCACATTGTGAGTGTAAGATAAAGTTTCCATTTTTTGCATATTCATTGTTATTTATAGGAAAACTGTAAATACACTTTTTAAAAAGTCTGTGAGATTCTGTACATGTGTATAAGTTATATGAAACTGCAGTAAACTTATATGAAGTAGAAATGTATACAGATCTCATTAAATTAAATCTACCCAAACTATGTATTTGGTCACAGTAGTTTCCAGAAAGGGGAGGGGGGGGGGGGGAAAGAAGGGGGGGGGGGGGGGGGGGGAAGAAAGAGGGGGAGGAAGGTAGAAGGAAAAAAAAGAGAAGGAAGGAGGGGCATGGGGGTGGGGTGGGGAGAGATGAGTTTTACAATGATAAAGTTAGAAAGAATACAGCACAGTCACAGTTCCAAATTCCTGTTCTTTTCATTTTATACAGATATAAAGGTTACTGCACTTTATCTGTTGTCTTATACTCTGCTATAGCTTTTGGAATACATCCACAGCTAGTGTAAACCGACATAGGTCCAATGGATCCATCAGAATTTAACACCAGCTAGGATCAGCTCTCCCCACACCCCCACCTGGTCTTGATATACTGAGAAGGAAAAAGAAAAGGCTGCAAAAATTAGCATTGCAATAAAAAAACCCTTAAATACTGAATAACCTTATTAATCCACCTACAAAAATGGACTGACAGCCTCACCACCTCTGAGCAAAGATTTAATAGCACTGAGAGCTCATATTCCTCATGTATATTCACAAATATACTACAGTACTGTACATTTATTACTACATATTGATATATTATCATTAATAATTAAAATACATTACAATTGTCTAAATAAATGAGGAAAATACATTTTGTGATGCATTAGTCTTGCTTTTTTATTATGTTTGTTCAATTAAGATACTATACCACTGTAGTCATTGAGAGCTTTGGCGTCTCAGTGGGCAAGGTTCTCTTACTCTTACTTGAATAGTCCCACACTCTAAAAGTAGACACATTTAGGTTCTCCAGAACAGAGATCACCTCTTTGTTATATTTTTACACATCACCTGGGAAAATGATATCTAGCCCCCCCCCAATTTGAGCCCTTCAGTAATACTACTGTACAAATAAACAATAAGCAACAATGGAATAAAGACTTACTTATTGTAAGAATAATCAGATATAAGCCTGGTAGAAATAGGACTTCACAAGCTATTTGGGAATTGTGTAATGTTACCTTTGGATTCCCAGGCATTAGCATGAATTACTTGGGGCCCATGAATAAATTATGTTTTTATTTAACTTTTTAAACATTTGTTTCAATTCTTTACTTCCTAACTTATCACTATTACCTTATAAAGCAACTGTATTGCAGATCTGCATATTCATCCTCCACATAAAACATATAACGTCACTCTGGTTTCTCTTCAGATCACTTCAAGCCATTCACATACAGAATTGGAAAGTACAGAAATAAAGCAACATGTATGTTTCTAGCCTAAACAGTGTTTACTCTGAGCTGCAAACTTTTCATCATTTGAAAAATGTGATCCTAGCTGCTAATTAATTTTAATTAATTAATTTTTATGTATATGCTTTCTTCCAAAGGTGCCATCCAAGTTTCTTTACACAGCTCACAAACAGAGCTTAGGATAGAGTTTAATCAAATGCTGATGCCAATTTAAACTTGTTCCTGATACATAGACACACACACACACACACACACACACACACACACACACACACACACAATCATCTCATGAAGAAACCATATCCTTTATCAATCAAAATCTACTGAACAGGCCATTCTAATCAGCAGGGATCAGGGATTTGTCATGGAAATATGCAATGAACCTGGATTTTCTCATTTAAGGAGAAAAATCCAGCTTTTCTCCTTTAAAGGAGAAAAATGCAGGAAATGGTGAGTTTCCCCTGCAACCTGGCGGAGTTACAGCCTGCAAGGGGCCAGGGGGTGTCCAGGGGGCAGCAGTGGGTCTGGCTCCCCATCGCTGTGCATACTCCTGGGAAGGGCATGGGGAGCATGTGCCCCCTGATTTGCGTGCAAGGTGGGGAGCAGGTGCAGCCTGCCCACTGTGAGCTTAGGCTTCCTGCCCTGCTCCCCTCCCCCCAGGCCTCTGCAGCCCAGCAGGTGAGACCCAGTGCAGCAAGACAGAGTGGGGTCGAGAAACTCAGTGCCACCACTGCGAGTCACGTGCCACCATTGCAAAGCACCCCCTGCCTGCCCAGCAGCAGCAGGTGGCACAATCCCACACTGCCACCCCTGTTGCTGCTGGGAGCACAGGGGGAGCCTCGCCAGCACGTGGCTGTCAGTGATGACACTGAGCTACCCCGCCTGGCCCTGCTCTGCTCTGCTGTCCTGGGTCCCGTCTGCTGGGATGTGGAAGCCCCACAGGGAGGGCAGCAGGATGGGAGCCCAAGCCTGCAGAGGGCAGCCCGCACCCGCCCCGACGAGGTCCACTCTGTCCATGCTACCCAGGGGGGAGGGGGAGCCAGGTTCCATGTTCTGCTCCGCTGGAGCAGCCGTCATCTCCCATGGGTGGCAGCCATGGCTCCTTTACTGTTGTGGGGGGACGGGGGCTGTGGACCCAAGTCCCTGGCCCTGTAGCTCTGGCAGCTGGGTGCCCTCTCCAGCAGGACTGGTAGGGCAGGGGCTGTGGGTGGGGAGTGAGGGGCAGCAGCAGGGTCCAGGGGGGCTGTGGGTGGGAGTGACAGGCACCAACAGGGCTGCGGGACTGTGGGTCAGGAGTGAGGGGCAATGGCTTGGGCAGGGCACCAGCATATCAGGGCTACTGAGAGCCACAAAGCAGCAGGGGGACAACCATGGCTAGACCCCCTAGTGAGAGAAGGGTGCAGGGGGAGCTCTGATTTTCCATGATAAAAAATCCAAAATCAAATGCCAAAATGTATAGGTGTTCAAATTAATTTTATTATGGTGATTGAGGCACTGATAGGCTTCCAAACTGCTTTAAAATTGTAAATATATCAATAAAACATTATGTTCAACCGATGCCTTTACACATAATGGCATTTCATTTTAATCATGAAAAATGTGGACTGGGGGTTTTTAATAAGAGAATTTGTGATTTTTATCAGAGAATTGATGATTTTTAAACAAAGAAAATCAGGATTCCTGCTAATCAGTATGGTATTCCATTATTTTCTGCATGCTTAGGTGACCAGATTTAGTCACCTACATTGCCATCTAAGTCCCAAAAATGCCAGTTACCTCACAAGCAGGCACTTTATTCCTGTGTTCATAGCTCTACACACGTGAATGGCTATGTATGTACTCAGAAACTGAATGTGAACCTGGCATAAGAAAAGAACAGAATGTGCCCCTAAATGCTTAACTGCCTGGGAAGGAGTGCTATATGCTATTCTGTACCAATCTCTGCACTGTTAAACACTAGGATGGCTATCACAGCACAAGTCCTTGTGAGTGAGGAAGATATTTAAAGTGAAAAGCAGAAGATAATAGGATGGGAGATAGTATGAGCAGAGAGTACTATGTTAGCCTGTAAGCCTGCAATTGTAGCTTTGAATCTAAAAAAATGCTTTCACAGGAGGAAAAAAGCTAATTAGAATACTCTGAAACCAAGGAGACTACACTTTGCTCTGAGCTCCACCATCATCAGAAAGGAGGCAAGTGAGAGCACCAAAGAGAGTATGTGTTTCTAAGATCAAGTTTAAAATCTTGGGTGAATATGTCAACAGATATCAATTGCCAGAGATATGCTACATACTAGTACTAGTGAAAAATTCTTAAAAACAAAACATGTGGTAGAAGTAATATTAGATGATGCCACAAAGCTCAGCTACAGACGGGGCTGCAAGAGAGTGTAGATCAGAGACACACACCCCCCTGTTCACAGAGCTGTGACATCTAGCCTGCAAGGCTCCCAAGAGGTTAGGAAATTTGGTAGCAGGGCAGCAGTGGCAATTAATACTGCCACCCTCCCCTGATGCCAAACTCCCAAGCCCTGCATCTGGGTTGGGAGCTAGGCCATTCCCCTTTCTCCCCCAACCATGCAGCTGGATCTGGGCCGGGCCATGCCCCCTCTCCCCATGTGGCTGGGCAGACTCTCTCTCCCCTCTGTGCAGCTGTATTGGGCCCACTGGTCAGATTCGGACTGTGGAGGGAACAGGAACTGCCCAGCCAACCCAAAGGGCAAAAAGATTGAGCACCAGTGTTCTCTTGCAGTTGGCAACCTATTCAGATGAGTTTGGGCTAGAGATGCTGGCTCACTAAGGAGAGAGATTAAAGGCATAGAAGTATGGAAACTACAAACGTTGAGAGAGGCAGACTTGGAAGCAAAACCTATATACTGTAGAACACCCACAAAATCATGACCTATACAACATTAACTTACTATTACCAAGTCCTTTTCTATACTAATTACCAGTCATATCAAATTATGAGGCTGTTAATGCATTAGCAGTGGAGATTTCTTTTTTGTTTGTGGCTAACACATAAGACGGGGAGTCAATAACTTCTCCATCTAAATCAGATTTTACTAGTACTGTATGTCCATCATTGTATTATGTA